TTTTCATTTTTTCATTATTGCCGATGTTTCAGATTTCTTTAGCTTATATCTTGGTCAAATGATAACCAATTGACAAGGAAAGACTACCGAGACACTCACCTTGACTTGCACTACAACCTTTGTTAAGAAAGTTAAGCATAATAACAACTTTCATTTTTTCATTATCATTTGCCTATATTGACTACTGAGTCCTGAGTCCCAACACTCAGAAGTCAGTAGTACCAGGTTTTGGGCTGTGGCACTTGACACTTGGTGAATTGTGTAATGAAATAAAAAATTTCATGTTATATACATTTTTTTGAGATTTGGTTTGCAGTTTTTGGTTTTTGAGTTTTGGGTTTCAAGTCTTGAGTTTTGGGCTTCAGGTCTTGGCACTTCACTCTCAGTAAATTGTGTAAGGAAATAAAAAAAATTCATTTATATACATTTTTTTTGAGTTTTGGTTTTTGGTTTTTGGTTCTCAAGTTTCAGGTTTTGAGTCTTGAGTCTTGTGCTTTGGGTTTCAAGTCTCAGCACTCAATACTCAGTGATTTGTGTAGTGAAAAATTCACATGTTGCATACTGTCATATCCTGTATGCTGGACCTAGATCCCATAATATTCCCATGCCTTCCAGGCCTATTTCTGGACCCCACATCCAACTTGTGTCTGGATCCCCTTCCACTGTGTGCTCCACACCTCAGCAGGATTAGCTCCACTATGGTTTTACCCCTGAGCTCCAGACCTCTGGATCTTCACTACTAGCCTGATCTGTACACCCTTATCCTGTCCACCATATGCACATTCCATCCAGCAAGACATCTGGACTTTACCTCCTCTTAGATTCCAGACTACATCCACCACCTCACATATCTCAGTCCTGTTTCTGCCTTGCCTTCCAGATCTCTGGACCTCTGGATATTAATTGTACTATCTCTGGACCTATTCCCACCCTCTGTCTGAGATCCTGCACATAACCCCATTCAGGCATCTCCACCTTTCCAGTTCTCCGTTACCTCTGTTTCCATCTTGCTGATTGATCTCTGTACTAGTTTCATCTCCAAGTTCATTTACTTATGTTCCATCTCACTTACTAATATGTTTCCACATGCTCGTACATAGCCTTACTCTGTTGCTTACTGATCCTCTCAGATATCCTCTAGTATATAACCCATGTACAACTCTTGTAGAGTCCTCAGTCTGAATATCAACTTAGACTTGCCCAATCTTCTCCCAGACTTTGGTCCACCTAAGTTCTGTCCTATTCATCAGGCCTAGAGATTGATTCCCTAGACCAAAGCCTTGCCTTTCTGGCACTTACCCTCTTTCTGGACTTAGGTCCAATTCCTGTCTCTCCAACTCTACCTTAGGGTAGTCTACCTCTGTTTGTTTCTACATAGGACTTTGTCCAATGTAGCCTCTATTCCTTCTGGACCTCTGGATGTCCTGTCCTGTGTACCTCCAGACATCCTGTCCCTTGTACCTCCAGACATCTTGTCCTCTGGACCTCCAGATGTTCAGTCCTCCTGTCCTCCATACTTCTGGACCTCTGGACCTCCTATCCTTCCATCCTGTTTCCCATAGAGATATTACCTTGGGGTCTTTCCACTTCCTTTGCAGTGGGAACTCCTCTGAGTATTTCCTGTACTCCTCTGGAACTCTCCCATGCTCCTCTGGAAGTCTTGTCCTCCTGCACTCTGCCAGAGTAGCCAGCCTCTAGAAGTCCTTCAGACTTCATCTGAAATGAAGGGCACATACTCAGGTAAGGGGCACAGCATACGAGCTGAGGCCAAGCCCCTCTGAGTCAGTCTCTCTCTCCCTTGAGCATGGTTCTTAACACATACATGTTTTTGGTCAGTTTTTGAGTTTTGAGTTTCAGGCTTCAGGTTTCAAGTCTTGGCACTCATCACTCAGTGATTTGTGTAGTGAAAAATTCACAGTGTGACAAACATTTATTCTGTAGCCTCACAATGGGCTATTTTCATGGTTTCTGACACCAGCCCACTAACCTGATGATTCCTTGGCAGACCTGATGATAACCCAATGAACCTGATACCCTGCACCTTCAGACCCACTACTTTCCTGCACATTGGACTACCCAAGACCCTTTGGAAACCTGTTATCCCTATGTCCAGTCCATTCCCATTGTGATAATCATACTGGTGCTAGGTGCATACAGTGGCTCAAAAAACTGTCCACATGTTTTGACATTTTTCACTATCTATGATATTGTGTGAGAAGAAACAAATGCCTCAAGGACATGCTTATACCACATTGTAGTAGGAGATACAAGGCTCACAAAATGGTGACTCATGCAGACAGTTTTTTGAGTGTATATTAAAACTATATAAATCATTATTTATGACACCACAAAAATCATGCCACTATTATATAAATTATGAAGTGGTGTCATTATGTTATTTTATGACTATATCTAACTATATAAACCAGAGTATCTCATGTATCATAGTCATAATCACCATTAAAGCTATCTCCTCTGCTCAAAGAGATAATATCCTCTCTCTGTCTTATGCTGGCCTCTCTGCTCACCAAATTTCCTCTAGAACTGGAGTATGCAAGTCCACTGTGGCCAAGTTTATCAAAGGAAGCCACCCAGACAAGGAAAACTCTTGTGGAGGACATCCATCCAAGCTTACCTCTACTGACAAAAGGGCTATTATCCAACATATCACTACAGGAAAGGCTGATAATGCTGTCCAAGCCACCCATTATATCAATTCCACCATCACTACCCCTGTCTCTTCACAAACTGTGAGGAATGTTCTCAAGGCAGCTCATCTCAAGGCAGTAACAAAGAAGAAAAAGCCTCTTCTCTCCATCAAACATAGGCAGAGAAGACTAGCCTTTGCCTTAGCTCATCAACACTGGACTGTAGAGGACTGGAAGCATGTTATATGGTCAGATAAGACCAAAATCAATAGGATTGGGTCAGATGGGAAGGTATATGTATAGAAAAAGAAGGGAGATGGCCTAACAGACAGAGAGGTTAATGGGACTGTCAAGTTTGGAGGAGGTTCTTTAATGGTATGGGGCTGTATGGGATGGAATGGTGTGGGAATGCTTGCTGAGGTTGAGGGAAAGATGAATGCTGAGCAGTATGTGGACATTTTAAATGACCACTTGCTGCCTAGCTTGGCAGAATCAGGGATTGATGAAGAAGATATCATTTTCTAACAGGATAATGATCCCAAGCACACATCCAGAAGAGCTAAGGAATGGTTTGAAGAACATAACATCAATGTTATTGACTGGCCAGCACAGTCTCCTGATGTCAATGTCATTGAACATCTCTGGGGAACACTCAAGAAAAAGCTTCAAGCCTATGGAAGCTTTGGGAGAGAGTAGCAGTGGAATGGGGGAAGATCACAGCTGAGAATTGCCAGAAATTAATTGAGAGTATGCCTAGAAGGATAGAGGCAGTAATTAAAGCCAAGGGAGGTCATACAAAATACTAGAATACCTGGTTATTATTGTAAAATACTTGAGTCAAAAAACTGTCCGCATGAGTCACCATTTTGTGAGCCTTGTATCTCCACCATATCTCCACCGATTCCCACGGTGTAGGGCTCAAATGAAAGCCCTGAAGCCATACTACAATGTGGTATAAGCATGTCCTTGAGGCATTTGTTCCTTCTCACACAATATCATAGGTAGTGAAAAATGTCAAAACATGCAGACAGTTTTTTGAGCCACTGTAAGTTCATCTGTATCAGCTTGAATCCTTGAATTTTATAAGCAATTAGTAGTAAGGTAGAGGCTAACAAATAACACACCTTCCAAAAAGGTGATCAAGAAGACAATCAAAATCTACACTGGAATGTCCATCCAGTATGATTGGGGATTTGTCTGAACAGCCCTTGTCCTGACGGATCCCAGTGCAAGGCAATGAAAATAGATTTGTGAAGACATTAGATCATTGTGTGAGAATGTCAGCTGGAATATGATAGAGCTGTGACTGAACCTAGCAACAACCAACACCATGCAGTTAGTAGGACAAGCCTGAGGTTCAATGGCACATGTGAAGCTTACTTGTAGAACAACAAATTCATTACTGTAGTAATGAGCTGCTGAGCATTGAGGAATTGTTGATCTATTTTTGTGGTATCACTGGCAGTCAGTACATTTGACTCAGATGACAAGCAAAGCAGCATGTACCTTTGTAGTATTGCTTCACAAGCCCTAGAACTCATTGTCTAGGTAGCAGTACTGCTAGGTTAGAAACCTGGCATCAATGGATGGAGTCTGGGTCAGGAACATGAAAATGGGCACATGGTTGAAGTGCCACTGACCATTTATGTGTCACAGTAAATTGACTTGGAAATTTTCTTGGGTGAGTCGAGCAGCTTGGCTGTACTACTAGTATCATGTCAGAACTTGAAGGCCATCCTCTACAATTCCCAGAACTACCTGCACAACAACACTGGTCTCATGACACCAGAAAAGCACATGGAATAATTTCTGATACTTACAATCATGCTACCCAAATTCTTTGACAGGAGGACCACAACCCACTCTAACTACAGACCATAATCAAGAAGATTTTGAATGACTTACTCCCTGTGCTTGAAGCATTGGACTTGGAAATTCAGGATGCCATATGGACAGATGAATGTGCTCAGGCACTGGCTACAACAGTAGTTGAGCTGAGGCAGGCATCAGAAGTTGCTGGAGACATGTCAGTCATGATTTTTCCAGTCCAAAAGCAATCTAATGAACTTTTCATCTAGCACAAATTCTAGATATGCAAAGGCCAACCCTGTTGGTACAGAAATACCACCTCATCAGACATGTGGAGGTCCTTGCAAAGTTATTGACAGTTACTGGCTTGAAGATGCTCTCTCTCCTTGCCAAAAAATTACCTTCAAGCACTTGGTAGCTGCTTTGGGCATGCATTGGAATACTCTTTGATGTTATCTAAAAAAGCATAATGTGTATCAGCAATTCTCAGCAATCTCCAATGCCAATCTTGATATCTTTGTTAAGACCTTCAAGATACATAATCCAGATTCTGGCCTTTGTTACATAGTTGGCTTTCTGAGAGCCCATAGTGTTTGTGTTCCATGGTATCAAATGAGAAGCTTGATGCATAGAGTCGACATGATTGGTCAGATATTGTGGCAATACAAAGTGATTGCATGATAGAAATATGCTGTGCCATGGTCCAACCATCTCTGGCATTTGGATGGGCATCACAAGCTTATCCTCTGGGGGATTGTCATCCATGGACTCATTGATGGTTACTGTTGAATGGAAAGTTACTTTTACAATGATCAACAATTTAATAAACTTGCTGATCTCAAATTCAGATTATAGTGCTTTGAGCAAGTAACAACAATCATGCCTTAACAGTCCTCACCATCTTTCTCCAAACAATAGAAACATATGGAGTCCCTCTTCAGATGAGAGGGGATCAAGAAGGTGAAAACATTGAGGTGTCTGTTTGGATGGTAATGCACCATGGTCCAAACAGAGGTTCATTTTTATGGGGATTGTGAGTGATACTAGTAAGCTAGTGAAAGTCAGACATGATACTTATGATTCAAATAGCTCAACACATAACACCCGAATTGAATGCCTTTGGGTGGAGGTTGGCCATTAGTTTGCCTGATGATGGAAGGCATTCTTCACACACCTCGAACAACTTCATGGCCTAAATTGCAAGAATTCCCACCACTTGTGGCTCCTGCAATTTCTTTTCCTTGATCTGGTCAACATAGATTGTGAAATATTTATGGAGGAATGGAATCATCATCCAATCTCCAGTCTGACAACAAACCACCAATCTCCACTAGTAAGTAGAGGAATCTTTTATTCATTTTTTTCTGCTGACTCTCCATCACTTATCTCACAGGACATGCATTTTCTCTCTGAAGTTGAGAACAGAGTTTATATCACTGATCCTCTTCATGATATGCACCCTGATACACTTACCTGATACTATGGTACTGGTGATCCACCACTTTCTCATATTCATGACTTGGGAGAAGACACTGACAATTCTCAGACTGCATTACAGGAAGAGATTGCCACTGACATGCAATCAAACCTTCACAACCAGCTATTATAGTTCCTCCTTTTCCTCTTTCACATCTTCACTTATTCACATTACTAATCATTCTCAGACATTCTATCACATTCCATTGTATGATTCCATTCCTATTTTTCTGATTCACTATTTACTTTCAATCTGTCATATGCCATTCCAGACCCTCAACTCTAAATCCACTTCTCTGGATATCTGGATCCAAGATCCAGATCTCCAATGATCTGATTTATCTTTATCTTCCTTCTGGAATCCAAACTCTATATCAGTGCCCAACCCCATTTAGACTTCCCCTGTCTCCAGACTCTGGTTAACTATGTTTCCCTCCTGATTATTGATCCATTACATACATTTCATTTCCGATATGCATTATTGGTGATCCATCTTACTTAATAATAGACTTTACATATGCTTCGTACATAGCCTTTGTGTTTGCTGACTGATTCCTATATGATACCTACAGTATATAAACCTCCTGTAACTCTCAGAAATACTTCAGTTTGAATATCATCTTAGTTCCTGCTCATTCCTGTGTCCTCCAGACTTGAGCCAAGTCTCTTGTCATATTCTGAGTCTTGGGATTGTATCCTAGACTACATTTCCTCACTGTACCTTAGGGTAGTCTATCCCCTGTTAGTTTCTAGTCCAGACTTCATCTGGATTAGCCTTATCTGCTTGTCCAAGTAACATCCAGACATCTGTTGTCTGCCCTAGTCAAATCCTGGAAACTCCAGACAACTATTCTAGCCCCCAGATATTAAGGGCACATACTCAGGAAAGGGGCACAGCATACAAGCTGAGGCCAAGCCCTTGTGATCTGACCCCCTTGAGCATGTGACCTTAACACAATCTCCAATTCATTTATTAAAGCTCCGCTTTAATCCCTCTATATATACTCTATCTCTTACACTTGTACTCTTTAACTTGACCTACACAGACCAGTGTTATGAACTTGGATGGAGCATCGTTCCAATAAAGGAATCAAGATCAAGGTTGATCAAGGACTAAGCCTTATTGAGTTAATGCCTCCCTCAGGAGCAATCACTTAGACTCCCACAGGATCTAAGGTTCAAATGGGACAATGGCTAGCCTCCTTCCCAAGGAGCTAGAGTTCGAGTATCAAGGAGAACCGAGTAGATTCAAGTTAGAGAAAATACAAGTGGTAACTAGGGTTTATACATGTAAGGGAATTGTGCACAGACCAGACTGGGCAAAGGATAACGACTACTGAGAAAGGAAGGTTCATGGGAAAACAAGGTATGAGTCAAAGATAAGGGAGACCATGAGGAAACAGCACAGTGAAAAGGAAGCGTTAGAAGTACAGCCATATAGGAGTCTGCAGTGATGATGAGAAAAAGAGTGGGGCACTGTAACAACCAGGGCCTGCAATCTACTGCTTAACTCACATGACTTGTGAATAGGTTCATGCTATAAGACTCTTTGTTTCCATCTAGACATTCTAGTAATGCTGAGTGTAACAAAAGGTCAAGTTACTCCACTATTGTGCAGTTCCCTTGAACTCGCACCTAGAACCAGACATCATTTCAACTATCGCACTGACCCCTCCCAGTTTTACCTGGGATGAAAACAATGAAGAGTTCTTCTGTATTGACACCAAAGGTAACAGATACTCCCTCAACCAGTGGGTAGCATTTTATGCCAACCAAGCCCTGAAGAATAAAGTTTGGAACTTCTTTACCCAAACTTATGAATGATCTGCCACCACCACTATGCCAAAAGAAATCAGCAAAACCCCCTCTTCCTTCAATGGCAACACCTGCCTTGCACAAGGATGGACTCTCCAAGTTGAGGCATACCTTGACATGAACAATGAAGTATATGACAATGACAAAAAAAAGTCATCTTTGCGCTTAGCCTTATGACCAAAGGTGAAGCTGCTAAATGGGCCAAAGGCCAATTGAAAGCTGCAGTAGTGGCTAAATCCTATGGAACATGGGCTGACTTCACTAAACAATTCAAAGCAACCTTCTTCCATAAGAACATAGAACAGACCACAATTCATCACATTTCTACTCTTAGGCAGACAGGCAGTGAAGCTGCACATGCCTCCCTATTCCACACCATCCTTGCTGATACTGGCATTAACAAAGAGAACACCAAGATCATGTTCTTTAGAAATGGCTTGAAGTGTGAGATCACCTCTGCTATCTACACCTTCAATACAACCCCCACCACCATCAAATCCTGGCTAGAGAAAGCCTTAGATGTCAAGGTCTGAAGGACCTTAACAGCATCTCCTTCCTACACCAAGGCATGTGACCCCTACGCCATGGACATAGATAAGTTAGACATAGATGAAGAAGATGGTGAGAAGAAGATGAGGAAGACTTACCTTACTCCTCAAGAACAAGAGCATAGGCACAAAGGTGGCCTCTGCTTCAAATGTGGAAAGAAGGGCTTAGCTGCAGACTGCCCTAACCATCCTACAGTTACAACCAACACCAGAAAGGTAATCAAGGAGTTATCTGACAATGATTACAAAGAATTTCAAGAGTGGAAGGCATTTAAAGCATGCTAGATGAAGAAAACTGGTAAGAAACCAGTTAAGAAGGATGAGAGTAGTGATGAGGAGGATTTTGCTTAGGGGAGCCTGCACTGGTGTCAGACACTCCCAGAATCAGACTAGTAGTACAATCTGTTGGCAATACTAATTCTATTTGTTTGCCATTAACCATCAGATCGAACAAGTCTCCTAAAACCACCATAGCCACCACTCTAATTGATTGTGGTGCAGAAGGCAAGTTTATTGATGAGAAGTTCATACTCAAAGAAAACATTCACACATATAAACTTGAAACCTTGATACCAGTGCATAACATAGACAGCATATTAAACAAAGCCAGAAGAATCACATGGTACTGTGAACTTTCATTCTTAATCAAAGATATCCCAATGCAGAAGTGATTCTTTGTAACCTCTCTAGGAGGAGAAGATGCTATCCTGGGAATGACTTGGCTAAAGAAAGAAAACCCAGATATTGATTGGACCAATCAAGAAGTCTGTTTAAGGGAGTGTACCCTGAAAAAAGCAACCATTGAAGAAATCAAAGACAAAGACATCTTTTATGATGCACTTGAAGAACTAGAAGAAGAATGGGACCCTGCTAATGAAACTCTCCCACACCTTTTAGATCCCATCAATGACGACAACAATTTTTATACCTTTATCCAAAAAACTGACAATATTTTAGACACTCGCCCAAGATGCCACCAAACCAAAGAAAACTTTTGAAGAACTCATACCTGAAGAGTTCTGACAATACAAAGACATATTTGGTGATGTAGCTAATGGTACTTGTCCCCCAGAACACAAATATGACCACAAGATCGACCTCAAAGAATCATTTGAGCTGTGGAAATGCAAGATTTATCTGCTAAATGTAAAAGAAGATAAGGCTATGAACAATTTTGTTAACAAACACCTAGCTAAAGGGATGATCATCCCTTCCAAATCTCCTGAATCTTCCCCATTCTTTTTTGTCAGAAAGAAAGATGGTTCTCTCTGACCCTGCCAAGATTATCACTACCTAAATGAACATATGGTTAAAAATAACTATCCTTTACCACTAATCTCAGATCTCATAGATAAGCTAAAGGATGCCAAGATCTTTACCAAGATGGACATCAGATGGGGATATAACAACATATGTATGAGAAAAACTGATCAATGGAAGGCAGCCTTCACTACTTCCAGAGGACTTTTTGAACCCATGGTCATGTTCTTCAGAATGTGTAACTCACCTGCCACCTTCCAGTTAATGATGAATGACTTATTTGGAGACATGATCCAGGAAGGATGGATTGTTATATATATGGACAACATACTCATCTTTTCTAGAGACAATGAAACTCACCATATCCGAACCCACAAAGTACTCCAACAACTCTGTGACAACCTCCTCCACCTCAAACCTGAAAAATGCACCTTCAACATAACTGAAATTGAATACCTTGGTATGATCATTACACCCGGTTCTATTGCCATGGACCCTGCCAAACTAAAGGGTATATCTGAATGGACAACTCCCATGAAAGTGAAAGAAGTCCGATCATTCCTTGGATTTGCTAACTTTTACCAACGGTTTATTGCTGATTACTCTTCAGTTGCTAGACCCTTAATCAACCTAACCAAGAAAGACGAAGAATTCTCTTGGACCCCTGAACATGAGGAAGCTTTCAATAAGCTGAAATGTATCTTTACCTCATCCCTGATCCTTCAAATACCCGACAAGAATACCCCTTTTGCTATAGCTACCAATACTTCTTTATATGCTACCAGTGCAGTACTTCTCCAAAAGAATGACAATGGAGACTGGCTTCCTTGCTCCTTCCTATCTCAATCATTTAACCCTGCTGAACGTAATTATCAGATCTATGACCGAGAACTTCTCACAATTGTCTGAGCCTTGAAGGCTTGGAGACATTATCTCCTTGGATCCCCTTTCCCTGTTCTTGTACAAACTGATCATAAAAATCTTCAATATTTCAGGGACATACAAGACCTCAACCACTGTCAAGCCTGATGGCAGACTTTCCTTTCCAAATTTGAACTCCAAATTCAACACATCCCAGGCAAAGAACTCATTATTCCAGATTTACTCTCTTGTAGAACAGATCACCTTCCAGATGTAGATGTCGAAAAGGACAATACTAGTATACAACTCTTACCAGACTCTCTATTTCTCAACATCATGGACACATTGTTCATGGACAGATTACACATTTCCTCTGCTATTGACCCCATAGTTCATACAGCACTTCAAGCACTTACAGACTTTTCTATTCCCCCTCTGCTCTGTTCAGCTCTTTCTGATTGGAAATTGAGCGATGGAATTCTTACCTATAAAGGACTCACTTACATACCTCCCAGAGATCTCCAATGAGAACTCACCTCCCTTCACTATGACTCTCCTACCACTGGACACCCTGGACGCTACAAAACCCAGGAACCCCTCTCTCACGACTACTGGTGGCCAGGACTAGCCACTTTCATTAAGAACTTCATAGATGGTTGTTGCATCTGCCAACAGAATAAAGTAAACATGCACCCATCTACTCTACCCCTATTCTCTATTCCTGCCCCTATTTCTAACCAACCCTTTGCTCATTGCTTGGTGGACCTTATTACAGACCTTCCCCTCTCTGATGGCTTTGATAGCATCATGGTCATGGTCGACCATGGACTTTCAAAGGGGGTATTTTTCATCCCTTGTTTCAAGACTATAGATGCTGAAGGTGTCATGAACATTTTCTTTTCTAAAGTCTTCCATAGATATGGACTATACAATAAGATTATCTCTGACCATGGACCTCAGTTCACTTCCCAATTCCAGATTGAACTCAGAAAACTCCTCGGATACAAGAACTCCCTTTCCACCCTCAGAGTGATGGAGAAACTGATCAAGTTAATCAAGAACTCAAAGTTTATCTTTGGATCTTCTGCACTAATGACCAAACAGGTTGGGCACCCATGTTACCACTTGCCAAGTTTGTTCACAACTCACATCATCATTCCACTCATGGCACATCCCCTTTCTACCTCATGATGGGTTATTACCCATGTCACCTCCCCAATCTTCACCTGAAATCTAACATCCCTAATATAGAACAATGCATCACTATCCTTAATAAAGCACGTGATGAAGTGCTAGCCACTCATAAACTTGCACACAATACCATGCATCAACAAATCACATCTAAATTCATACCATTCTCTAAAGGTGACAAAGTCTGGCTCAAAGCCAAGAACTTACATTTTGAATATCCTAATCAGAAACTTGCTCCTAAATGCAAAGGACCATTCACCATCACTGATGTACTATCCCCTATAACTTATTGACTTGCCCTACCTGCACAATGGCACATTCATCCTGTCTTCCATGCCACACTCCTTTCTCCTTATAAAGAGAACAATACCCATGGCCCTAATCATATTACACCCACACCTGATCTTATTAACAGTGAAGAAGAATATGAAATAGAAGCCATCATCAGACACCAAGGCTCTTCTTCTAGATGCCAATATTATGTTAAATGGAAAAGATTCCCGAGTTCTGAGAATGAATGGATGAAGGAAGCAGAACTAGGTAATGCTTCTGATTCTCTCCTTACTTATAAATGATCACATCATCTTCTTTGATAGTAGTTGGTGCCTACTACCCTTACACTGGGGGTAATGTTACAGTTCCTCCTTTTCCTCTTTCACATCTTCACTTATTCACATTACTAATCATTCACAGACATTCTATCACATTCCATTGTATGATTCCATTCCTATTTTTCTGATTTGCTATTTACTTTCAATCTCCAATTCATTTATTAAAGCTCCGCTTTAATCCCTCTATATATACTCTATCTTTTACACTTGTACTCTGTAACTTGACCTATGCAGACCAGGGCCTGCAATCTACTGCTTAACTCACACAACTCATGAATAGGTTCACACTATATGACTCTTTGTTTCCATCTAGACATTCTAGTAACACTGAGCATAACACTAGCCAGTCCCTGTCCCTAATCACTCAAATCCATTTCCCTCTCCCAAAGCAGAGGCCATTTTTTGCCAAGCCCTTGCTGGTGTGCAGTCTGCAGGTTTGAAGCCTGATAACACATTTTTCACTGCCTCAGAGTGGGCTATTGATACATATGAAACTCACAAGGATATATCAGTTGGTTTTCAAAAGACAAAGACTTTATTGATGAGCCTCCCACCCAAAATATGGATGCCACAGGCTCTCATTTGGGCACAAGGTCTTTCAGTGTTACATTACTTGCTAGAATTATGATAGTCCTATTGAATATCATCAAAAATGAGTATGAAATAAAGTGGCTGACAGAATAGTTAAAAATCAATTTCATCTGATGCAAAACCATCACCTTGTCACTTCCTGAAGTTCCCATCGCCAGCACCATGCTTCCAGCTGATGAACAAACATGCTGAGACAAAACCAATGATGGCTCACTGTGTCCATACCTCTGCCCTAAGCTTAGGAAGGACCAGAAGGACGACAAGCCTGTGATATGTGTAAACTGTGATCATTATGACACATCACATCTGCAGGAAGCCATTCTGCAACAGCCGCCAACAACATCTTCCAGCTTTTGTTCAATCATGTCCAAATATTCTCACCTGCTATCAAAAATGGGTGCATCAGAAGACATTGCCTGTCAAGAGACAAATCTGGGGTTCTGCCAAAAGCAAGATCTAGCCATGCCTGCTTCAATAAGCCACACAGCAAAGGTTAGGGTGTGCTCTGGTGGTAGTAAGGATGTCGTCAAGGTAGTAAGACCCCCTCAGCATGTATCAATGCTGCTCTGAATCAATCATTAATCAAATTTGTGTATAGAAGACAACTGCAGCAAACCTCCGAAAGATGGGTGTTGGATCAATCTTAATGGTGACTGTTGGAGTTGTGAGTGCCTGATTATTTGCCTCAAGGAAAACTGGCACTGATGTGAAGCATTTTCAGCCAGAATAGAAAGGGTTGTATGAAATGAAAGGTTGCACCTGACATAGCCAAGATTGAAGAACTATGAAAGCTCAAGCTTGCTGTATCCAAGGGACCCAATGGCAACAATCTGCAGATTGTACCAGGCATGACAAAGAGTGACATTGATGGATATCTGCACACTCTCTTCCCTCGTCTCTTCAATTACCTCGAGAACCATGATGATGATGGCAGGAATAATTCAAACTTGACACTGGCAGGTGCAGATGGGTTTCACTGGTATTTAATTGTCAAAAGTGGCAAGAATATGGTCAAGAGCAGTTAGGAGGGACTTACAGGCAGTGAAGTTTTAAAGACTCGCCATCCTGCTGGATGAAAGTGGACTGATCAGTTCATTTATTTTGGTGAGTCCTGAATCCTGATAGAGACTTACCTGGGCATGTTGTATATGTGTAATCCATTGTCCAGGTACCATGCTTGAAGTGGACCCAGATTCTTTTGATGATTTGATGAATGAAGTTGCAGAGGTGGAGGACATAGGCACTGTTGGAAGCAATGATATGGATGAGTCTGAGAATGAGGTGTCAGTGCTCCCAAAGGGAAAAGGTTTTGCACCTTAACTAACTCTTCTTGCCCATGCATTCTCACTATTCTTCTGATGCTCAGACTCTCCTAATCTTAAAAAACAAACTCAATCCAGTGGTGCCAAGCTGTTTGCAACTTTCCTTAATTCCAACTTGGATTCTGATGTTGAACTGGTGGAAGATCATAGCCATAAAGGTGAAAGGACAAAAGTGCCACCAAGGTATGTGATGACTTCTCCATTTATTATTCTGCATTCTTACTACCTATTTTGAAGTTGCTTCTGACCATCAGATGGAGTTCACAGGGTCAGATTTGAGAAGTACTACACTGGCAGGCACTGGTATAGAATGTAAGTCCCATCTGTTATTATTTTTTTCCACAGCATTAAATTATCACCAACCTCAGTGGCACCTGCAGTCATGTTAGATGTTCCTGCAGCAAAGTCCACTTTGGAGAATTTGGATGGTGATGAGAGGTGCAGTGTGGCACAGATTGATATGACATGGCTGGAATCAGAGCTTGAGACATTGGAAGATGTTGGTTTGAATGAGATCCTGCCAGCTGAAGACAAACCAGCCTTGAACATGTTGCTGGAAGACTCAAAATCAAGCACACTGCTTGCCAGTGTCATACCAGTGGACAAATACTATAGTGACTTCAGTATTCCTGAAGAACATATGCTAGTACCCTCTGCATCCAAGTCTAGCAGTACCTCAACAACTACTAGTACTACTGCCAGTGCTTCCACCTCAGTTTCTTTGACTCATGCAGCACACAGGCCTAGGGATCTTGGTTTTGGTTGTTCACAGAATCTGCAGGCACTGAGTAATGTCCCCTGACTTGCATCATCTCAATTAGCATTCAGGATGCTCATCAAACCAAAGGCCAATCCCTGGGATAGGAAATGACAGTATCAACTTTTTTCATTTATATTACTGACTCTACATACAAGCAGTTAATTTGACTTGACACTTAATCCTCTAGACTGTCTTTACCCAAGCACTTATTTCATATTTGACTCTACATTGAACTACTAATATACCTACTGCATTACATGAAGCGTCTGCATGCATTTTGTTCTGTGTGCATGCACATGATTTATTTATGGTGTATTTGGCCCACCATAGATGGTCGAAGAAATACCTGCTTGTAGATTTGCTTAACTATTCAATCAAAGAAGGCATGTGAGTGGAAGCACTTGCTATCCAAGAAGATGCCTGGTGGCTGTGGCCAGGGTGGAGGCAGCTCATTTTGGGACACCTGCTTGGCACTGTCTGCACAGAAGCCCTGTCAATGATTGTACCCTGAGTTCTCTGGACCAGGGTACATGATTGTCTTGCAGCAGGAGCATGTGTGAGCCTTGCAAATCTGAAACAGGTCAGAAAAAAACACAACAAGGGTTTTAAAAGACTTGTGCACCTTCTTCCCTGACTCAGTCTTGATGAGCTCAATGACATGACAGTGTTGTCTCCAGAATGTTTCTGAGCTGGAATGAGCTATATATAAGTAGTTAGTAGTTGGTAGTTTGAAAGAGTGCCAGTGGGATAGTGCCAGACTCATACTTAAAGTTGTTTCTCACAATGTGATTCATCATGATTACTTTAATGTCACTGAGCTTTCAGAGAAGGGCCTGGGGGTTCTTTCTCACTGTTTCATGCCCATCAGCATAATTCTTCTCCTCTAGGCAGTTGTTACAAGACTCTGTAGCTACAGCCCACTGTTTTGGCATCATCTGGAAAGATATCCATGTAAATTCTGCCCTCATGTCCATGAATAAATGGAACTCAACACTGGAGGAGATTTCCATGGTGTGGGCATCAATGCTTGTTGCAATTGTGAAGAAGTGCTGGGAACAGGACATCCCTGGAGGCTTCAGAATGGGTGTGAGAGTAGTGGTGGTGCTGTTGATGGCAGTGGTGACAGGACCATTGACTGCTGTGACTGGGGGAGTGGAATTGGGAGTGACCTCAGGAAGTTGATGATGTGAGAGAGCCTTGCAGTATGGCAGCCAGCTTCTTGGTTTGAGAAAGTGGTCCAGTGTGGCCAACAAAGTCCTCTGCCAGTAAACAAGTTCAGTGGGGCATGGATTGAAGAAAATAAGAGGGAAATGAAGCTTTTCATATGAGAGGGAGGGAAGGTGTCATATCCTGTATGCTGGACCTAGATCCCATAATACTCCCACGCCTTCCAGGCCTATTTCCTGACTCCATATCCAACTCATTCCCAGATCCTCTTCTGCCATTGTCTTAATAACCAAGGGTCTTATATAAATGCATGTAAAATGTAATGACACCACAATTACACTAGAATAAGACTCCTTGCCAGTCCTCGATTAACATGGTCTACAACTTTTCTTCTTTCATAGTAGATAACATGTGAGTTCTTGGGAGGCTCACTAAACCAATCTATGTGATTAACTTAGCCGGAGCTTTTGTGTTATATCCCAACTTATAAACTTGTCTAGGATAAACTGTCTAGACACTGGAATGTGGTTCCTCGTTAAGATAATTCTCTGTAGAGACTACAGTCTCAAATACAAATATGTTGACCAAAGACTGGGTGGTCAAATAGGCACAAAGTGGTGAGAAACTGGTCTCAAAAATGATCAGATTGACCAAAGCTCGTGTTGGTCAATATCAGGAAACTAGGTGATAAGCAGGTCTCACAAATGAACAGATTGACCAAAGCTCATGTTGGTCAATATCAGAAAACTAGGTGAGAAGCTGGTCTCACAAACAAACAGATTGACCAAAGCTTGTGTTTGTTAAGAACCATGCTCAAGGGAGAGAGAGACTGACTCAGAGGGGCTTGGCCTCAGCTTGTACATTGTGCCCCTGACCCAAGTATGTGCCCTTCATTTCAGAGGAAGTCCAATGATGGTCTGACAAAGTCTGGAGGACTTCCGGAGGCGGAGGAGCATGGGAAACATCCGGAGGAGCGTGGGAGAGTTCCTATTGCAAGGTAGTACTTCTACAGGAAATAAGATGGAAGGGTAGGATGTCTGGAGGTCCGGAAGTATAGAGGACAGAAGGACAGGATGTCTGAGGGTTAGGAGGATGGGACATCCAAAGGTACGGAGGGCAGAACATCCGAGGGTTAGGAGGACAGGGCGTCCAAAGGTATGGAGGGCGGAACATCTGAAGGACAGGATGCCCAGAGGTATGAGGGACAGAGGAGGGAGGTCTGGAGGTCCAGAGGGAATAGGGGCTACATTGGACTTCATCTGATGTAGAAGCAAACAGAGGTAGACTACCCTAAGGTAGAGTCGGAGGGACAGGAAGTGGACCTAAGTCCAGAAAGAGGGTAAGTGCTGGAAAGGCAAGACTCTGGCCTAGGGAATCAATCCCTAGGCCTGATGGGTAGGACAGACTTAGGTGGACCAAAGTCCGAGAGAGGATTGGGCAAGTCTAAGTTGATGAACAGGATCTAAGATGATATTCCAACTGAGGACTCTACTGTAGTTGTACAGGGGTTATATACTAGAGGCTATCCGAGAGGATCAGTAAGCAAAGGAGTAAGGCTATGTACGAGCATGTGGAAACACATTGGTAAGTAAGACAGAACATAAGTAAATGAACTCAGAGATGAAGACTCATACAAGGATCAATCAGCAAGACAGAAACAGAGATAACTGAGAACCAGAAAGGCAGAGATGCCTAAATTGGGATAGGCACAGGATCTCGGATAGAGGGCAGGAATAGGTCTGGAGATCTGGGGATCTGGAAGGCAGGACAGAAACACAGACTGAGATATGTGGGGTGGTGGATGTAGTCTGGAATCCAAGAAGAGATAAAGTCTGGATGTCTTGCTGGATGGAATGTGCATAGGGTGGACAGGATAGGAGTGTATGGATCAGGCTAGTGGTGAAAATCCAGAGGTTCAGAGGTCCAGAGCCCAGGGGTAAATCCATAGCAGAGCTAATCCTGCTGAGGTGTGGAGCACACAGTGTCCTGCACAATTTGGGAATCATGCATGGACATGACTACTAGGTAGCCCCCTAAAAGACAAAGTCTGTTAGCTTAGGCATCAGGCTAGTCAACCCATACTTTGGTTTCAAACCTTGGTCAAATAGTTCAGTTTCTCCTCTGTGATTCATGAATTTATTATATCTTGAAGAAAAGTCATTTATGAGATGGGAATCACATAATGACCTAGTTGATATTGTGAAGCAAGAAGGTTAAGGTATTGCCTTGCCTTTGTCTTATTCACTTTGGCTAGAGAAAACCATAGAGAAAAGTTCAAAGCCTAACAAAAACCTATCTAAAAAGCCTGTGTTTTGTGTCTTGTTATTGTATTATTATTTCTGAGTTGTTTTCTCTAGTATTTCCTTGATTTATTTTTCTATTGGGATGCTCTGACCCATCAGATACTTCACAAAATTGTACCTACAGGGTATGATGTCATAATGATGTCATATGGCTCCACAGATACTCCTGCAAGTATTCTGTTGAAAGTTATGATGTCATGATGATGTCATTTGTTCTGGAATGTTCTGCTCCACAATGACTCACCTCTGATGTCATTACTCCACCTATGGAATATTCTGCTCCACTTCTGATGTCATTGCTCCGCTTTTTTACTTACATAATATTCCCACACAATATGTATATAAGGAGGGCCCATTCTCCCCCAAAAAAATAGGATCTCCCACTTGCAATCATTTGAATCTCAGTTTGAGCTACTCACTGTGAAAATTGTTGCTTACAAAGAAAGCCCCTTTGAAGTACCAAGTGCAGGGAAAAGACATTCCCTTGAGATTACATAAGTTTCTCATGATAGAAACTTAGTTTATTTGAGACCAGCTTCTCACCTAGTTTTTCTGATATTGACTAACACTGTCATATCTCATATGCCAGACATAGATCCCATTATATTCCCATGCTTTCCAGACCTATTTCCAGACCCCATATCCGACTCATTCCTGGATCCCCTATCCTGTCCACCCTATGCACATTCCATCCAGCAAGACATCCAGACTTTACCTCCTCTTGGATTCCAGACTATATCCACTACCTCACATATCTCAGTCCTGTTTCCACCTTGCCTTCCAGATCCCTAGATCTCCAGACCTCTGGATATTAACTGTTACTATCTCCAGACCTATTCCCACCCTCTGTCTGAGATCCTGCGCCTATCCCCATTTAGGCATCTCTGCCTTTCCAGTTCTTGGTTATCTCTATTTCCATCTTGCTGATTGATCCTTGTACTAGTTTCATCTCTGAGTTCATTTGCTTATGTTCCATCTTACTTACTGATATGTTTCCACATGCTCATACATAGCATTACTCCATTGCTTACTGATCCTCTCAGATATCCTCTAGTATATAACCCCTGTACAACTCCAGTAGAGTCCTCAGTCTGAATATCATCTTAGATCCTGTTCTCTCACCTTAGACTTGCCCAATCTTCTTCTGGACTTCAGTCCATCTGAGTTTGTCCTTTTCCATAAGGCCTAGGGATGGATTCCCTAGGCCAGAATTCCAGACCTTCAGATTTGTCCCCTATGTCTCTGTCCCAAGTCTAGGGATTGCTTCCCTAGGCTGGTGTCTTGCCTTTCCAGCACTTACCCTCTCAACTACCTTAGGATAGTCTACCTAGACCAGTGTGCAAGATACTAGATGGTACCACTCACACCTGATGTTCTCTGCAAGAGTTCCTGCTATAGATGACAGGCATAACCCACATAATTATATTGTTTGTGCCAAGTTGCTGTTGCAAGAAATTCATTATCAATCTTGATCAGTGGGAGAACAAGCAAATTGAATTCATTAACAAAACTAATTGTACTACCATATAGCTAATACTCAATGTCACCTGTATGTCCCAAAAATGTCTCTTCTTCCTCCAAGTCTCCTAGGGGACAAGCTATCAAAGAAGAGGAAGATATAGAGAGAGTAGTGAGGTTATTTACCTGCAGCAGCTCTGAGTCAGACACTGAAACTGCTGATGTCCATGAGGACCATCAAATCCATGCTCAAGATATTGCATGCTTTGTGCATTTCAGATATGACAAGCATGCCAAGCAACTTGCCACATGCTCAGGCTTTCAGACAACAATGATACAGAATGTGTACAAACATGTCAGCAGCTTCAAATGAACAGAGAAAGCAATAAAGGCCATATATACTGCTGCCTTGGAGTGTGCCAAAGAAGAGATTGAAGAAGAGTTGGATGTGGAGGACCTGTATGTGGGAGAATGAGTTTGGTTTGAGGAAAAGGAAGAAGTGAATTGATGTACCTGATTCACCATATGTATTTAGTGTCACAGTGGTGGTTATGTAACTGAAAATTTCAAGAAATTGAGTGGACAATCTGGGTTACATGAGGACAAATGGCGATTGTACATCACCAATGATAACCACAAGCTTCCCTCCCATTATTCAAATGTAGAAAGTAGGATTGTGTGAGACATACTGGGCACTGCTCATTATTTGAACATAGAAAAAGTAGGATTGGATGGGACACACCAGATGCAGCTCACCATTTGAATGTAGAAAGTAGGATTGCATGGATGTACAGGTGTTTCTGATTTCAGCCATTCAAATGTAGAAATTAGGGATTGCATGGATGTATGGGTAGTACAGAATCATGGCAACATAACTCACTTATTACTGTGCCCAAGCCCATCTTCTCACAATACACAAGACTCCTGAGATGTCTATTCGAGTCAATACTGGTAGGTGGCAAGGAGAAATAGTTGCAGACTCAGTGCTTACCATCAACCCCTTCACTGCTTTCCTGTGCACCTGCAGCACATGGCCCCTTTGCATGACCATATTTTCTTCAGATCAGACATTCAGTCATGTGCAATGGTTGAAGTTTTTTCAAGTCTTAAATGTGAAGTTTCATTTCAAAGTATAGGCCAGCATTAAAGATATAATTATATTTCTTATTGTTATTGATGTTCAGCTAGCAAAAAAATGCCCACTGATGCTTTATATTTTTCTTATCATGGAAGATTTATTTAACATTTGAAATTGTACATCTGCTTAGATGATACCCTAAATATTAAGTATTACCTTGACATTTCGCATGACATTCAGACCTGTCTTAAATATTGTGGATCCTGTAGTGTGAACACTGCATACCTAGACTGGTGACCAGCCCCTCTATGAGGCAAAACATCAATAGAGGGACTGGTACATCTGGGTTTGAATTTGGATAGCACACTCTCATAACAACATATAGCTACTCATAGCATATCTATGCTGCAATTAATATATATACCAGCATTGCTGGACTTAGAAATATTTTCATTTATAAAAAATCCAAGTTGTAGCCCTTGTCAAAGAGAGTTTATCCATATTCCCACAACTTAAATAGGATAAAAACCCAATGAGATATAAACAAAATACTGGAAAATCACTATGGATGCTATATAGACCATGTAACAGTAAGTTCTAGATATACAGCAAGTATATGCCTGAAGACTATAAATGGTTAGCTAAAGGTAGCTCATGCTATGTAAACTGTATAACAATCAGTGCTAGAGGTGTGGCACCAGATTTTTTCTGATGATGTGCTTTGGAGTAATCACATCAAGGAAAAGCTTTTTTGGGAGTTAGATAAGTCTTTGCTAAGTTCTCAATTACATACTGAATGTGTTATTCAGGTAACATTGCTCATCCAGGCTATACATGCATAGAAACATGCTAAGTAGCAGACTTTGATGATGCATCAACCATGCTAGGAAACACATCAGCAAATCACTTTGCCTCTGTGGGCTCTGTACAGCTGTACAGCTGTACAGAAGGGACCAAGCTGTGGCTAGCCATTTTTTGGTGGTGGGAAAAAAAGTGTTTTACTGATGTGGTGGTGCATCAACCTCATCCAAGTTGGGAAAGTGATGCATTCCCTCATATTTTGGTCATGTGATGACCGCAATTTTGGCCCCCAAAAATGGAAATCCACAAAAACACATTGCTTCATTTTGGTCACCTCATATGTAGGTCTATGCTTTGATCTTGCAGATATGACCAAGAATTGACTAACAATCAATTTGCAGTAATAACAGTGTGTAAGATGAGCTGAGATTCCCTGTGATTAGGAGCAAAATGGTACAGCTAGTGTGAGCTTGATCCCTAAAAGGAAGGAGTGCTGTAGACACTCACAACTCAATTTGGTAAGGTGTAGCACATAAACGGCTCTAGGACAGGCTGGTCCTGGAGGTATGGTGCCAGGATGACAGCATGCTTCCTAAGGTGCAGCATGAATGTGTCACTACTTCACTGAGCCATTGTCTTGACAGTCACAAAAGGAACTCCTTGTAAAAGGTATTCCAGGCTCCTGCCAATGTGGATCCCATGGCCTTTCAGCTCCCTAGTCCCTGCCTGATCACTAGCACCCTGCAAGCACTTCATAAAGGTGTTCTGTGTGAAAACTCTAATCCCACTGTGGTGATGGTTGTCAAGTAATGTGTTCTTCTTTCTTATGTTTTTTTCAGACAATTCTAGGCAGTTATTATGGCCCACAATCTCTTGGTTGTTGATTATTCTCTTGAACATCCTGGGAGTGTCCATAATGCATTTGCCTTTTGATCCACTCGCCTCTATGAAGAGCATGAAGATTTTCTTCCTGATGGTCACTGGGTTTGGGCAGATAGTGCATACCCATTGGAGCCATGGTGTATTGCTCCATTCAAGAAACCATGCAATGGTCATTTGACAAAAGACCAGAAAACATTTAATTATTACCTATCTAAGGTTTTTTTTTAAATTCCAAAATGTGAATCTATTTAGATTCATGTATGTGTTGAACACACATTTGCTGCTTTGAAGAGGTGGTTCCAGTCTCTCTGAGAGCTCCAGTTCAAGATTCAGAAAGAGAAGGACTTGAATTTTGCTATGCAGTGGATCAGGTGTTATATCATCTTCCACAACATGATCATTTGCTTCAAAACTCATTATCATAAGCAGGATGGAACATATGAGAGTATTTTGAAGTGGGCTCATGAAGAGGGTCAAGATTTCATTCCTCAAGATATTGAGGGTCCAGATGGCAATGATGTAGTGGGTAATAGGTCTTATGAAGGAACTCCAGGACAGACTACTCATTCAAAGCTGATGGATCAGCTCTTTGACAGTCCTCATTCCAAGGCACAGCACTGGGAAAGGTAAACCATGCTCACATTGACCAAGAAGATGAGTACTACCAGTAATATACTTGTACAAGTAAGATGTATGTATGTAAACATATGTATGATGAAGACAAATAAGTATCAAAATCACAACAGGACAGCAACAGAAAGCAATAGGCACATCAATGAGATAATATGACAAGGAAGAGATGAAGATAACAACATGATGATGATGATGACAACAGTGACACTATGACACAACAACACAACAACACAACAACTGACACAACAATGATGACTGTGACCATAACAATGACAACAACACAACAACACAACAACACAACAACACAACAACACAACACACAACACACAACACAACAACACAACAACATGACAATGATGGCAACACAGGACTTAGGTACTTCCACCACCACCACCCTGCATCAGTTGATAATACAGTTATCAATCAGTACTTAGAGACATGAAATTGAAAAATGAAGTACTGTACTTTTACAACACTTTATAAAAGCCCTGTTATATTTTTCCTAGCAAGTAGTATATGTCAAAATTACATATCTGAAGTTTCAGAGAAAAATATACAACTGTTTGTGTATGCCATTCAAAACAGTGAAGGGACCTCTTTTTTGCCCATTATCACTCCATGATACATGTGACTCATTAGCAAAATCATTATCAGTTGCTCACTCCATCTCACCAGTGGTCCCCTCACATCAATATCAAGTCCATTGATAGTGTTAATGGTCCAGTCTGCACCAAGCTCATTCCTTACAACATTATCATGCTAAATGACAAGTTTCAAATGGTAATGTATCTTAATATTCTTCAATTGACACTAATACTGATACAGTGCATGTACAAAGATTATTGACTGCCGCCATGGACCTGCCAGCTGCCTCAACATGTTGGGTTTATGAGGGTAAGTGTCCATTAACTGGTCTTCATCACTGGCATCTGAAATACCATCAAGATCAAAGCTTTCCCCACCACTAGATGCTGCATCCTCCTCGCATACCACATTCAGTGCTGGCCTTGGAATAGGGCCACACAACTTTCCCAAGACTGGTTTTGCCTCACTGAATTTCCACCCCTCTGCCTTTGCCCTCAACTTATCCTCATTCCACTTCTCCAAAGCAGTGTGGTACTGTGCTCTTCAGTCCTTGTTCTTCATCTTGCATTCATCTTTGAGATGTTTCCACACTGCCAATCCTTTGGCCCTCTTCTCACATTCTTCTTTCCTCATCTTCTCAGCAATGCACTTTTTCTGCTCATGTTCAAATTCAATAACTTTCTCATAGAACTCATCACCAGAAAGGAAACATGGCAAACCGTCGCCCATCAACTTTCCTTTTGCCTTCCCTTTTTGCTTTTTTGCTTCCTGGTTTGCAAGCTGTCCATGAAGGACCTTGCAATACCTCTTATTCAGGATATTCATGGCCTGAAGCTCAAGGACACGGCACTTTAGTGTGATGTTGGTGGCTTCTGTTTCATGGAGCAATGCAAGCAGTAAAATCCTGTTTAAGGTCTTTGGTTTGATGGCAAAAGGGTGTGTTTTTTTGATAGGGGAGATAAGGTGGGTAGTATTATGTTCCAGTCATGTCTCCGAAGTCAAGGGGACTGATGAGATGAGCCCTGACAATGAGGTCTCTTGTAGTTTTCCAATCAAGGACTTGATCTTGGATTGCATGGTTGTCACAGGTTGTCTAATACATGTTGCTGCAGCTTTGGTGTTGTCATGTTTTGTTGACAGCTTCCCAAGAAGGTCTGCAATGATTCTCACAGGTGTTGATGGCATGATAGGAAGCTGACCCTCACATGATGTTTCCTTACTAGGGACCATCATCTCATTAGTGATGACATCTCAGTTGAATGGCAAGATACCAGTCTTCTAAAATGCAGTGCAAATAAGGTCTGGCATGAGTGCATGAAGGTGAGCCCGTCTGTAAATTAACAAGAAGTTACTTTTTGTAACACCTTCTCCTTTTGTCTGCTCCCATGTATCTCTTTCCTTGCTCCAGTATCTCTTCAAGACTGCGAAAACAGCCACATCTAAACCCTGATAGACATGTGTTGCATGTGCAGGATAGCATATCATGTGGATGCGATGGGCACGTGCATATTGGAGGAATCCTCTGGTATAGTGTGAATTGTGTCTGTCAATGATGAGGAGACAATCACAACCATCTGCCTTGTCCTTGGTGTGTTTATTGAAGTCTTGGATCCATGCTACACCAATCTTACCATCAGTCCAGCCTTTCTTTGAATATCCAAGGCTATCATCATCATCAGGTAAGGCTTATTCATTCATGCTGACAAGGACTACTCACAATGCATGTGCAGGATCATCTTGCTTCCACTTGACTTGGTATGCATTGCCTTTGAAGATGACTGTGGGAGAGCTTGATGTTCCATCAGCACATATTGTGATGATAACAGTCACATTTTCCTTGCTTCCAGTTCTTTGCTGATACTGTGGCCCAGGTTTATGGCTCCTGATGACTCATTCACCCTCACCTGATTGTGGCAAGATCCCAATCTTGTCAACTGCATGTATGCAATCCTCAGCAATGTCATATTGGTCCAGAACACCCTCCAAGAGATCAAACCATGCCTTGTTTGTGTTCTCATTGACTGCACAACCAAATTTTGAGTTGAGCAGAGCTGACCATGATGTTTTCAAGTGTTTGGAGTGCTTTTCAGTGAAGCGGTGTGTCCAACACTTTCCAACCCCAGGAAAGTCATTACCGAGGCAAGCATAGCATATTTTGTCAATGTGTTCTTGAAGTCATTGGTGACTAAGTGGAAATCCTCAATTACAATTACCTACCTCTTCTATGTATGCAAGTACTTGCTTGGTCTCTTCTTCAGAGAGCCATGACTTCATAGCATTCATCTCTGCTAGTGACCTCTTGCCAGCTGTGAGGTGTGCAAGTGTGGTATGAGACAGCTTGATGTAGTTGCCTGTTGCCTTGAAATTCATTCATTCAAAGTCTTTGGCAATAGTCCATAATCCACAATGTTTTATACCTGGCATTTTTGCCAACTCAGCACAGTATGCAGAGACTGCTTTGGACATGAGATCATTGTGAGCCTTGTGAGCATCTTGCCATTTTTTGTGGCTGATTTTGCTCGACCAGGCATTGTAGTAGAGTGGCAAGAGGTTTTGCAGACTGTGTAGTTACTGTCAAGCAGAAGACACACATGAACTGTGTCTTGGCACTCCAAACAGTGGTGGAATTTGAAGTAGCTTACACCACCTAAGATCTACAGCACTGGGAACCTGCTGTGGATATATGTCAATAATACTTGTGAATGTGTATACAGTAGGCCTTTGATGTTCCAAGTCAAGCATAATTATATCAAACAAGTTAGGGCTCGAGTGAGATTGTGCTGTGAAACCCAACTCAACTTTGGCCAAACAGCAGCCACACTTACCAACACACTTTTCTTCACCATGCACTTAATTCTCAATGTTGAACAGCTTGAATACATGTTACAGACAGCTTAAATACTTGCTAATACAGTTATTATAGTTTTGTGTGCCATCACACTGTTGAATATTGAACACAATAGAATTTAAATTTTGAAAGACCTAAAACTAAGACTTCAGACAGTACAAACACACATCTTGAGTAAGAATTTGCAAATGAAGTTGAGGCAAAATTTAATGCCATGCAAGAGACAAGGTCAATGAAGCTTATGAAGGTATTATTGAGACCATAAAGTGAATTGTGGATGTGTGAGATGCATTTTGTATCATGGAGTGATAGTGTCTCAAGGACCAATTGATAACTGTACTGAATCCACAGATGCAGAGTCTCTGCCTCCTTGTCAAGAACTGCTGAATGTGCCTTGTGCACTTGAGTGTTGACTTCATGAAGGCAAATTTCAGCAGTCCTGTTCTCCTGCTCTCACTGATGGTTCAGAATGGCCTGAGATGCCTTGTGTGCATGTGTATCATCAAGCCAATTATATTTTTTGTGTCCCAGTTATTTTGCTCTTTGTCTTAAGCTTGGCAAGAAATTGTTGATGCTTTGAGTCATTGATGGACATGATGTTGGACTGGATGCTACCAATTTCCCCTGCCAGATTATCTACTTGATCCTGTATGTCCGATTTTGCTTTCTTCTTCTTTGTCTCACTATCCGGTTGTCCTGATAATGACATCTGTGGAGTTGAAGATGATGAGACTGTCTCACATACTACAGTGACCTATCTCCATATTATACAAGTGAACTGACATACATAATATCCCATATAAGATGGGCCAGCAGACCATGGGCCAATGCTATATATATCCTTAACATTGACAGATGGGCCAGGAGGGATATTATTTCCAATGGAGATGGGTGGGTCCATCTATGCTGATGTTATATATATCCTTGATGATGATGGATGGGCCAGGAGGGATATTATTACCAATGGAGATGGGTGGGCCCATCTAGGTAATATGTAGGAGTAGGATGGACATGTGTATTATAGACAGCTGGGCTGAAGAGAGATGTAAGGCAAATATTATTATATAGATGGGTGGGCCAATGTAGTGGTTTTCAATATAATAGAGGGATGGGCTGAGGTAGTGTGGTACCATATAGACAGGTGAGCCAAGGTAAGATATGTATCGCATAGATGGGTGGGCTGAGGGGGTATCATATAGACAGGCCAAGGGAGGTATCACAACACCTGACACCCGAGTTCCAAACATGACCATCGAGTACCAAGTACCAAGTTATGTAAAAAGACACAAGGTACTGTGGGTCCATAATAATACATGTAATAGTGCTGTCTACTGTGTCAGTCATGGGAATAACTGACTACTCACCAATGGGGATGCACAGTGTGAAGAAGAAACTGGTACTAGGCTGTTAGCAACTAGCACTACTTATCCTAAGAGGCATGAGTCAGTAGATCAGCCCAAGAGGACTGCTATTGAAGTACTTCCTTTGAATATATGCAAGGGAAGCAAGTGAGTGAAGGAGCTAAAATCTACAGCAGCCTAAGAACTAGAGTGCAGGCTATATGTATACCTTTGAATTCCTATGTCAAAGAATCGACTGTGAGCTAGGGTACTCCATGGGTATGGGTAACCCACATGGGTCATGGGTAGGGGACCACCTGGGTAGGGGTAGGGGTCCAGGTTTGGGGTACCCACACCCCTACCCACACCCTGATCATGGGTTTTAAAAAATGACATGTGAATATATAAAGATGGGACTACCTAAAAAAGGTACTGTACAGCTGCACAATGTATCAAACCCTAAAGCATATTCCCAAACTACACTAATCCAGCCATAGAAATTCGCCAGCCACTATGCAACTCAATATCTTCTTGGGTCCTGCAAAATGGGTCACCAAAATGACAACCAAAGCCAAAGTGGCCCTGGAAGAGAAGGTGACAGGCACATCAAAGAAGTGGAAGCCTGTCAATGATGTGGACGGAGATAACATGACTGCACAACTAAAGAAGGCAAAAACTCACCTAGCAGCTGGGAATGCCCCCACTGGCAATCTCACAGTGGTCAACCAATGTTCTATGACATCATCAATTGAACCCTCAAAATCACCAACCCCACCAGCCATGATGAGTCATTGTGCCGTAGTTCACACTGAGGAAGAGGAAGCCACATTATCTGCCAACAAGATTGACTTGGATTCCAAAGATAGTGAGAGTGAGTCAGAGAGCAAAGAAGATACTTCTGAAGAGCAATTGAGTATGTTCAACACACTATGAATTAATATGATTTTAATGAATCAATAGAACAGATGATGAAGGATTGGAACTCACCTGTTTATACATTCTTCAATCCCACACCAAAGATTGTTGAAATCAATGGATACTGTGCACATGAGTTTAAGTGCCAGGCAAAAGGCTGCAAGGCCAATGTCAGATGTTTCCTCAACAAAGGAGATGCACACTCAACTGGTAACATGCACAAGCATGTGCACTTGTGTTGGGGGGCTGATGTGTTGTGAGCTGCAGATGAGGCAAAAGATGCTAATGAGGTCCAGTGCAAAATTGTTGGTAGTGTTCTACAAGACAGGTCAATCACCACATCGTTTGCACAGAAAGGCCAAGGAAAAGTCACTTATTCTCACCACCAACACACATGTGCAGAAACAAGGTATGAAACTGTTGATTTTTTTGCCAAAGTCTAAGGCATGTTGCTGCAGGTTGTCATATCCGCATATCCGGATCTCAGATCCAACCCTTATCTCAGATCCACATCTTATCCCCCTCCAACATCTTGTCATTCAATCTGTCCACTTGTCCAGTCCGGTCCACAACTCATCCAAATCCACAACCAGCGCTCGTCTCTTTTTGGTAACCCCCTAACTCCGGTATTTCGGTTATCTGTATATCCATCCTGCTCCCTTATCCGCTACCTATGTTTTCATTTCCGTTTCATGATTTGTGATCCATTTCTACTTACCAATAGACTATCCACATGCTTCATACATAGCCTTGGACTCTGCTGATTGATCATTCCGTTAGATACCTATAGTATATAACCTCCTGTAACTTTCTGTAGTACCTCAGTTCGAATATCATCTTAGTTCTGCTCATTCCTGTCCTCTGGACTTGAGTACCTCTACTCTCATCACCCTCCGAGACTTAGGATTGATTCCTATAGTCTATCATATCCGCCTCTGTCCCCGACAGTCCACTACTGTTAGTTTCTAGTCTGGACTCATCCGGATTAGCCATATGATACTTATCCCTCATCTGGAAGTCATCCGGATCCGTTACGCTACTCGTCTGACCTTCCAGACACGCTAGGCTTGCCTTCCTGAAATAAGGGGCAATACTCAGGTAAGGGGCACAGCGCATGAGCCAAGGCCAAAGCCCTTCAGATCCAGTTACCCTTTGAGTACAACCTTAACACAGGTCTGAAATAGTGTGCTGGGTGTCTGAGAGTCTGTGTCCATTCAATATTGTCAAAGATCCAGGGTTTTAGTCTTTGATGAAGACAGGCAGACCAGAGTATTACTTACCTTCTCCATCCACTGTTTCACATGACGTTTGGCTTGTATTTGCACAGACTTGCCAATGTGTCACTAAATTGCTGCAGGTGAGTTTATATTCATATGAAATATATGAAACTGACCAAACTTACCAGGAATATGAAGGGAGAATCAATTTCACCACTGATGGATGGTCATCACCTAACCATCAAGCTTTTGTTGCCTTTTTGGCACACTTTGAGCATAATGGCAAGCCCCTAAGCTTAACATTAGATATAATTGAGGTTGCAAAGGTGGCTACTTACTGAGATGGTAGAATATCAACTGACATAGTCACAGTCTCATACAGGCAAGGAGCTTGTGCACACATTTGAAAATATGCTAGAGGAGTTTGGGTTATCAGACCAGGTAACAGACAATAAAAAATCATTGGACTTACTTGGCACTAATGTGAGGGCATGCAGATCTTGTGTGTAACCTGTGACAATGCATCAAATAATGATGTTATGGTTCAGGAGCTGAGTGATAAGGTCCCGGCATTCAGAGGAGCAACAACACATACCTGTTGTTTTCTCCACACAGTCAATCTTGTAGCCAAGTCTTTGATTTGAGAGTTCAATGTAAAGAAACATGACACTGATCAAGTGCTTGCCGAAGTGGACAGGAATGTGGACAACAAAGAAGACACAGACAAAGCAGGTGAATTGGACAGAGCAGAGGATGAGGAGGGAGTCCATCAGTGCACTGCTGATGTGGCTGATAATGATATGGCCGATAACAATGAAGGGTGGGTGAATGAAGTTGAGCTGTTGGAACCAGATGAATGGAATGTGCTAGAAAGAGAAATTCAACCTGTGAAGTTGGCACTTGTGAAGGTAGGTAAAAAAAAACCCACTTACCTGAATACTCAATCTGTGTTCTAGTTGTGAAAGCTGGCCTACAGAGTCATCCACTTGACGACTATTGTACTCCCTGCATGGCATCAGATACTCCAAGATTCCCACAAGTCTGTGACACTGATGCCATGTGACATGGCCACTCACTGGAACTCTATGTTCAATATGCTGAATTATGCACTCAAGCATAGGAAAGCTGTCAACAATATTACACAACGTCAGGATCTGGGTCTGTGTAAGTATGAGTTGGCTGACTGTGAGTGGGAAATAGTTGAACAGTTATGGGATGTATTGAAAGTGCATAGCTTTCACACCTTGACATCAAAGTGTGCTTACCACATGTTCTTTTACTAGATTCTCAAGGGTGCAACTATGTATTTCTCCCATGCAACCCCAAACCTGGCTACTGTGATCCCTGCCATGGATCATATTGACCAGGAGCTCACCTCATACTTGCACAACAAGAAATATTCTGCACCGATTCATGCAGCTGTTTGACTTGCAAAGAAGACGCTGAACTGTTACTACAAACTTACAGATAGTTCAGAAGTTTATTGCATTGCTATGGGTATGTATGTATTTTGTGGCATTTTACTGGGGTTTGTATCTAACATCTTTCTACATTAAGTTTTACATCTGCGCCATAAGCTATCTTACTTCAAGGTTGCATGCTGGGAAGACCAATGGATTCAAACAGCAGAGTCACTTGTTTGCGATGAATTTGAGTGTTCATACTTATCAACTGTCGATGATTCAGACTTCAAGTTGATAGAAAAACATTTGCTGGCAAATGAGAAGCAGGTATATTTTCTTTCCCTACATTATTCTACACACTGAATAAAATTCAGAGCAACAATATATTCAACAATCTTCCTACACTAGTGCCACCACGACCTGCTGACTTAGGGTCTGAATTGGACTGCTACCTTAATTCTGACATTGAACATGTTGATAATGCCATCGCTTGGTAGTGTGACCATCATGCATCGTACTCACATCTGTCACAAATGGCAATCAATTACTTGAGTATCCCTGGTAAGTGGTATGTTACTTTGCATGATGAGGTAGTTTACAGGACTCATAGCAATGTCTGTCAATGTTGAGCAACTATTTAGCTGTGGACATTTGCTCCTCTCCCATGTCAGGTCCCATCTCTCAGTGCAATCCACACGGGCACTTCTGTGCCTCAGACCCTGGAGTACACTGAATCTTGTCAAGCCTGAGGATATTTACAAAGTCACAACCCTACCAGATCTCGAGGGAGAGGAGCAGGAAATGGAGCCTGGGTGGGACAGGATTGATATAGGCTAGTCATTACATGTACTAGCTAGTATTTGTTGCATCATATATCAAAATCATACCCTGACCCCTGGGTATACCCCTCACAGGTTTTACCTGGGGTCATTTATACTGTTACCTGTTGCCAAACCTGTACTCCCCTGGTGGGTGTGGGTATATGAGCGGGTAGGGGTAGGGGTATCACCTCTGATACCCAGGGGTTCACCCCTGCAGTTCCCTAGATAGAGTGGCTGGATGCAAGAGAGATAGCATGAGAGAAGGACCGTGCTAAGTGACTGGTCACAGGTTAGGTGTTCTTGCCAGAGCCTAAGTATAAGGTCCTAGCGGTATGGAACTTCAGAGTGGTTAAATTGTGCAAGATTGTTTAGTACGAGCAAACAGACTGGATTGCACAAGGTCTACAAAAAATAACACAAGAGCAACTCTCCTATAGAGCTGAGTCCAGGGGAAAGGGAACTAACTCAATTGTATGTACTGCAGTCATTTTATCATAGCATGTGAAGATCCAGAATGCGTAGGCAAGAATTGTAGCATAGTAAGCGAGCACACAACGAGTCTATAGGTAATAAGACATCATGCGCTGCGGAATGTGAGTAACATGTAATAAGACCTGCAGCTCGTTTAGCAATGATATTTGGGAAAAATAATGCACCAGTGGAGATAGGTGGACATGGATAGGACATGGGAGGACAGATTCCTAGGACCAGGCTGAAGCTAAATGGGAGTGTAGGTTGTGGGAGGAGTGCACGCCTATTGTCAAAGGAGTGTACTAAAAGCAGATGAGTCAATATATATGGATTTTAATGATCAGTGCTTTATCTCCTTTCCTGGGAGTGAGAAGAACCATGCTAGTGAGCGTACAGTGGCTCAAAAAACTGTCTGCATGTTTTGACATTTTTCACTACCTATGATATTGTGTGAGAAGGAACAAATGCCTCAAGGACATGCTTATACCACATTGTAGTATGGCTTCAGGGCTTTCATTTGAGCCCTACACCGTGGGAATCGGTGGAGATATGGTGGAGATACAAGGCTCACAAAATGGTGACTCATGCGGACAGTTTTTTGACTCAAGTATTTTACAATAATAACCAGGTATTCTAGTATTTTGTATGACCTCCCTTGGCTTTAATTACTGCCTCTATCCTTCTAGGCATACTCTCAATTAATTTCTGGCAATTCTCAGCTGTGATCTTCCCCCATTCCACTGCTACTCTCTCCCAAAGCTTCCATAGGCTTGAAGCTTTTTCTTGAGTGTTCCCCAGAGATGTTCAATGACATTGACATCAGGAGACTGTGCTGGCCAGTCAATAACATTGATGTTATGTTCTTCAAACCATTCCTTAGCTCTTCTGGATGTGTGCTTGGGATCATTATCCTGTTAGAAAATGATATCTTCTTCATCAATCCCTGATTCTGCCAAGCTAGGCAGCAAGTGGTCATTTAAAATGTCCACATACTGCTCAGCATTCATCTTTCCCTCAACCTCAGCAAGCATTCCCACACCATTCCATCCCATACAGCCCCATACCATTAAAGAACCTCCTCCAAACTTGACAGTCCCATTAACCTCTCTGTCTGTTAGGCCATCTCCCTTCTTTTTCTATACATATACCTTCCCATCTGACCCAATCCTATTGATTTTGGTCTTATCTGACCATATAACATGCTTCCAGTCCTCTACAGTCCAGTGTTGATGAGCTAAGGCAAAGGCTAGTCTTCTCTGCCTATGTTTGATGGAGAGAAGAGGCTTTTTCTTCTTTGTTACTGCCTTGAGATGAGCTGCCTTGAGAACATTCCTCACAGTTTGTGAAGAGACAGGGGTAGTGATGGTGGAATTGATATAATGGGTGGCTTGGACAGCATTATCAGCCTTTCCTGTAGTGATATGTTGGATAATAGCCCTTTTGTCAGTAGAGGTAAGCTTGGATGGATGTCCTCCACAAGAGTTTTCCTTGTCTGGGTGGCTTCCTTTGATAAACTTGGCCACAGTGGACTTGCATACTCCAGTTCTAGAGGAAATTTGGTGAGCAGAGAGGCCAGCATAAGACAGAGAGAGGATATTATCTCTTTGAGCAGAGGAGATAGCTTTAATGGTGATTATGACTATGATACATGAGATACTCTGGTTTATATAGTTAGATATAGTCATAAAATAACATAATGACACCACTTCATAATTTATATAATAGTGGCATGATTTTTGTGGTGTCATAAATAATGATTTATATAGTTTTAATATACACTCAAAAAACTGTCCGCATGAGTCACCATTTTGTGAGCCTTGTATCTCCTACTACAATGTGGTATAAGCATGTCCTTGAGGCATTTGTTCCTTCTCACACAATATCATAGATAGTGAAAAATGTCAAAACATGTGGACAGTTTTTTGAGCCACTGTAGTCCTGTGAACATTGAATCTGTTCCCTTTCTGATCTAGCTCCTTCAAATGGGTGCTGTCTTCGACATTGAATTTGCAAAGTCTCATGCAATCCATCACCTTGAAACCCATCCAGATCTTGAATTGACAATGAAACTCCAGCTTTGCCACCAGTTCAGAATCATTACATGGCTTTCTCCAACATTCAAGGCCCTGGTATCCCAACCCATTGAAAATCTCAATCCTTCAAGTTTGGGACAACTTCCCACTCATATCTTGCATGCTCTTATTCAAGTAAAACATTGGATTATGACACACAGGTTAACACTAGCAGCCATCACACCCCCTGCAATAGGAGGATTTTCTTGCCTCATGCCAGTAACATGTGCTCTTGAATGGGAATCAGCATGGAAGGAAGGGCCGGCTGAGATGTTGCATCATCCAGACATCTTCTATGCAGGTCATGACATCCTTGCCAAGCTTGTGTCTGCTGATCTGTCACCCATTTGCCTAGATTGTGTAGAGATGTCCATCTTCAATGTCAAGGACAGTGGATGCCTGCTCATAGAGGAAGGTTTTGTTGAAGAGATGCTTGGGGAATTGACAACATGGTTGATAAATCAGTAGTGGGATCTCATTTTCATTAGCATTTTCGATATTATACACCACTGCATTACATGAAGTGTCTGCATGCATTTTGTTCTGTGTGCATGTGCATGATTTGGGTGCACACATGCAAAAGTTGCACATGCACATGATTTATTTATGGTGCATTTGGCCCACCATAACCATCCAGTGAAAGTCCTGCACTTAAGCAGGAAGCATTTGCAATGATGCTGCTTGACCAGTCAATCACACTCAAATTGGGGATGGTGCTGTTCAAGTTGTATGAGGAGCTTGAGATTGACACAATGACACCGGACACACTGTTGATGGTGCACAATGGTGTCAAGCACCTTTGTGTCAAGTACCTCCAGGAGCACTGTGCCTAGTAGTATTTTCATTTTTAAATCATTTTAAATTGTTTGACTTTTCTCTTTAGCTCTTTAGTACTTGCACCTTTCCCCTCCCCCTCAACTAATAGCTTCTTTTATTGTATTTACATTTAGTACTCTCATTATTCAAGCCCCTTGCTTCCTCATTATCCTTTCCCCCTCCCTTCTGCATGAACTAGCCCGCATGTTCTTCCCTCCCCTTCTTTTTCTATATCACATGACTTTTACAATTGGTCTTGCAAATGGTTCCTCATGTGCATGACAATTTTGGCATCACATGAGACCAAAAATGGTCCACCCCTTGACATGATGTTGCCAATCTAAAGACAATAGTGTTGCTCAAATCAACTTTTGAAACTCACTTAGACACTGCCTAAATGCTTTCAACTCTCGGCTAAAGTCTTGAAGCCACCTTGGCCGATGACCTAGATTCAAGGTCAGGCTGGCATTGTACAGCAGACTTTGAAACCACCATGCCTCCTGCCCATTGTTCTGCATGCCTCAAAGCTAGTACTCCATCACACTTGGGGGCGATGGACGAATAATCAAATAATCGAGCTAATTTCCCCTCAAACCCACCTCTAGAACAGTCTGGACCCCAGCTCACCATCCAGTGGCACAATGACTGTGCACTTACTGACACGCTGGTAAACTACCTAACCACTCACCCTGCTGATTGTAGGATTTTATTCTATTCTGATGGCAAGAAAGCCATGGCTGCTGCAGATGATGGTCCCTCAGGCTCAGATAAGGGGCAGATCTATAGTGTCATCACTAAGCTCATCTTCACAGACCACATCAAGTATGGTCCTGCATACTTGGTCAATCCAAAAAAATTCTGCAATGCAGTCTGCAATCATATTGGGACGTAAGTCCAGTCATTTTTTTAATTCTGTTAATAAAGATTCTAAAATTCATGCAGTCTTAGGGGTAAATACAAAAAAATCAAGGCGACATTCAGCAGTACAGGCGCTGGTGTAATGCCAGCTGAGGGGACTCCAGCAAAAAATCTGCTAGGTGAGTTTTTAGTTCTGTTTTTTCTCATTCTTTGCTGATCAATTGTTGTAGATGCTGCACTCCAGGAGCTGCCATGGTACACAGAACTTGATGCCATTTGGCACTCTAATCTGTCCATGGCCACAAAGGTGCACTCATCAAGACCTGGTACTGACCATGCAGGTGCCTTCTACTCCCTTATTCAACCACATGGTGGGGCTGGTCCCTCAATGTACTATGGCCCCAGTCAGCACTCATCGCACACTCCTGACATCTTGGACTCTCCATCTGCCTACCAACATGGGCCCTACCTGCCTCAAAATGAAAATGTGTTTGCTAGCAGTATGTACCCACCAGCAACACATGATTATTCAATGTCACAATGCTCTGCTCTTGCTCCCCCCTTACCATCACATTCACATGCTCCTCCCCTACCATCACATTCACCCACTCCTCCCTTACCATCACATTTGCCCACTCCCCCCTTACCATCACATTCACCCACTCCTCCCTTACCATCACATTCACCCCCTTACATGGCCAACATTCACCTTCCTGGCCTTCCATCAGACAACAATGACAACATCGCCAACCACTACAGTCCATTGCATTCCCCCTTGGGGGATGCATTGGACCACATTGATGACAACAACAACATGATGCTTGGCAGCCCTTCCCCAGTCATGGGGAAGAAGTGTCAACTCCCTTCGTCACCCTCTCCTCCTTCCTCCCCTCCAAAACCATTTATCATGCCATCGAGAACTCCAGCATCCACATACAACAACCACTTGGTGTTTGGCATCCAAAAGCCATCAAGCCATGGGGGGTGACACAAAGTGCCATTGGTGATATCACATAGCACATCAACTGCCCTTGTTGATGACATGCAACACCACTTTGTCATTGGAGTACCATATGTCCCCGACACCTCAGACATCACTTCCGAATAGTGCTGGCAGCTCGAATAAGAAAAAGGCTAAGTCAGACATGTCACAGCAGGTGGAGCAGGTGAGGGATGAAATCAAGAGCTTGCACTCTAGCGTGATGTCACACCACAAGGGCAGACATCAATGCTACATCACCAAGCTCAAAGCCAAAAGTGAGCACAATCGTGACGTGAAGAAATACAACTGGCTTTGCACTACCTGGGAGCACAAAGTCTCCCAAGCCACAGTCAGCCATCAATGCCTGCAAGAGGCCAAAGATGCCAAGATTCAGCTTTATGAGACAGATATTCAGGTCCACCAAGCACATTCCTTGGTGCTCAACAAGGAAGCAGAAACCCTCCACCTCAAGATCCAGTTCCACCAAATGATGCAGGCCTCCAAGGCTGCATCAGATGGAGGAACTGGATGAGTTGTTCCATCATGTTGTCACCACCGTCCATCATGACTGTTGTCATTGTCAGGGGTTGTGTCATTGTCATCATTTGTTGTTACTCATTTGTTCCATTGAATACGTGCATGTCTTATGTCTTGTGGTACTTTCATTGATGTTACATAGGTATATACATTTGTTGTACAGGTGTATTGGTAGTAGTACATGTTAAAATAAGCACTGTGGTTGGTTATCATCCTTCCCTATGTTGTGCACCTGAGTGAGGACTGTCAAAGAGTGCATCCATCAGCCTTGTACAAGCAGCTTGACCTGGAGTGCCTTCATATGACCTGTCACCAACTACTTCATCACCATCTGGACTCTCAATCTCTTGATCAATAAAATCTTCCCCCTCTCCATGGGCCCACTTTAGAGAACTCTTGTATGTTCCATCCTTCTTGTGATGCTCAATTTCAAAGCGAACGATCATGTTGTGCAGGATGATGCAACACTTGATCCACTGTATAGCAAACTCAAGGTCTTTCTCAGCCTGGATCCTGAACCAGAGCTCTGGAAGGGACTGGAATCATCCCTTTAGAACAGCAAATGTGTGTTCAACATGAACATGGATCTAAATAAATAAAATCAATTTATTAAAATATGGCCCTTCAAAAAAACATACCTTAGAGAGGTGATAATTAAATGACTTCTGGTTCTTTGTCAACTGCCCATTGCAAGGCTTCTTAAAAGGGGCAATGCACCATGGCTCCAATGGATATGCACTGTCAGCCCACACCCAATGACCATCAGGTAGAAGGTCAGCATGCTCTTCATAGAGACAAGTAGATTAAAAAGCAAATGCATCATGGACACTCCCAGGATGACCCAGAGAATAATCCACAATGAGAAGGTTATGGGGCAAAATGACTGCCTAGAATTAAATTAATTTTTGCACATGAAAATAAAATAAAATAATTACCTGACAGCCAAGGGAGTACTTGGATTTCCTATCATAAAATGTCTCACCATAGTAGCCAGGTTTGGTAAAAAGATCCACAGTTGAGCCATCAATGGCTAGAAAGCCACCTTTCCACTCTGGGCAGGTACATGACTCAGCAAATTTGCAAGCCAGGTCAGTGTCCTCAGAGTTAGCTGCTGGAAAGCAGACAAACTGATCATGGGCATCAAGTACTGCAATCATCACACAATTAGTGCAATTGACTACAGACCCAACACTGACACCTGCCCATTGAGCAACATCCTCAAGGGTAATTGCATTGCCATAGTGGCCAGCCCGATTCAAAAAAATAGCCAGTTGGATGGAAACAGGGAGCTGAGGATTGTTGGATTGGTTTTGGAAGATGGGATGATCAGATATATAATCAAGGATATCACCAAAGATCTCAGGGTTAACACGGAGTTTCTGCCAAAATAAGTGAGGGCAGTGTTCTTCATGATGAACTAACATGTGAAGCTGAGGTGCTCGTGGAGGAGGCTCATCAGGCTTGTGCAATACACAAGCCCTCTTAACCTCATCATGAAGAGCATTAATGGTGTGAAGAAGGTGGTCATAAGGCAAAGCAACATCATCAGAGGAGATAGAGCTGTTGCCAGAAGAACCTGAAGTGCCTGTCATAGGGGAAAGGGGGGAGGGAGGGGAAGGGGAGCTAAAAGACAGATTGATTGTGCTATCATCATCTGAAGTAGTAGTTGAGAGTGAGTCCCCAGAGCTAGAATCACTGTCAAAATCAGACCAGTCATCTAGGATGTCCTGGTACTGTAGTTTGGCCAATGCAAGTTCAGCCTGATCTACAATATTCAGGAGTTCTTTATGTGCAGATTCATGAGGCATAGTTACAGCAGGGGCAGGGGTCAGGGGGATCAAAACTCCTATCTATTCCGTGTATATGTGACATACTTTGTGTCAGAGTTTAAATTTTTGGCAAATTCTGAACTTTCGTCTTGTGCTGAGCATGTTGGCATCGTCGTTGACCTCCCTCTCAAACCTTGATGCTCACTCACAGCACTGAGCAGGACATCAAATTTCCCAGTGTCATCCACCCAAGGTAAGTAATTTTTATTCTTATTGCAAGTTGCAGCTAACCCTTATCTTACAGGAAATCTATTATAGTCCCACATATGTTTCACCTGACCAGCAGTGCCTCATCTTCAAGCTGCTCGTCCGTCCTCCACCTTATCATCATTCCTTCCACCTTCTTCACCTACCCTCTGGAGAAGCCAACCCTTCATTTGTTCTGATCAGGCTGGCTCAAGGCTCTTGGCAATCTTGCACACTATCACATGACCATGGCTGCAATGGTTACTAATACCACACCATCTTCACCCTTCACTTGGTCTTGTGTCTCCCTAGAGGCATGCAGATATTGTCCCTGAGGGTTATCCTCCTCCCCCACCTTCCTCTAGTACTTACCTTGTTCTCTCTGGCACTCCATATGTATGGCTGATTTTATTCTTGTGGGGACTTTGTTTTTTTTTCAATAATTCAATTAGTGCTGTCATTCAAAATGCTAAGCCTATCTATGACTCATTGTGAACTATGTCCCAGTTACCCCATACTCTCTAAAACATATGTACATAGCACACTTCAAAAATCCTAAGTCTTTGAATGTCCAATTTCATGCTGAAGTGCGCCAAGCATGATTCAACTGTTCTTGAGCAAACTTTAGCCAGAGTTTGAACTGTTTAGCTGGCATCTAAGTGAGTTTTCAAAAGTTTCAAAATTTGTTTTGAGTAACACTAATGTTTGAAGTCTTGTCATTGCATTTTGTTGCCACCATGAACTTGAAATTTTCAGGAGGGTCTAATTGTTTGACACAACTTAATACTTTGGCTATGGACCAAACTTCAAGTAATCATCCCAAGTTAAATGTCATAATAAAACTTCAAATTCAAGCAGACACTGAAAATCTGGCTATATTTCTTATTTTCGGTGATGTATGGTCAGTGTAAAAATAGCTGCCAAAGCTTAATATTTTGGATTTCGCACAAGACACTGACAAAATTTGGAGTTATATACCCATATTTATGTCAGTTTAAATTTCAAAAATATTCTTTGCATTCTGCACAACATTAAAACCTATCTTAAATATCTCTAGCGCCGCTGCGTCAATCCTATTTCACATTCTAAGTTTACCTGGTAAGGACTAGTTTTTTGTATTCGTAGCAACCACTTCATCATCTATTTATATGCATGTTATCTCTCCTATGCATCAGCAGCGTGCTTATCGCTACTGCGTCTCACTAAGTATTGCGCTGAATAACCTGATGGGATTGTGACATCCTGAGGCACAAGCTCATTAGATGGGCGCCAGCAGTTGGTATATATAGCATGGAAGATATGTTCGTCGCACACTTGATTATTCGCGCCTCAACATGCAACGTGCAGCAAACAAGCCCGCACCCTGTATCCCATACTTTACACCTGCGCAAGTCCCTGCTGCAGGCACAGCATTCAACCCCCAGCCTGATGGAACTCGTATACCAAAGCTGTTCCAGCCCATCAAGATTAGAGGGACAACATTCCACAACCGTATCTTCGTGAGTCATCATATCGATCGATGACTCGGAGTTCCCATCCCAATCTCGTGCAGCTATCTCCAATGTGTCAATATTCTGCAGACGACGGTCATTTCACGTCCTGGCATATGGCCCACCGTAAGTTTATAAATCTCAAGCATGATAAAAGTACTCATGGCGTTCAGTGGGCGGCATCTTCACGCGTGGTCCTGGTCTCTCTATGATCGAAGCCACAGCGGTCGTCCCAGAGGGTCGCGTCAGTCCTAACGACGCAGGACTTTGGAAAGACAGCCAAATCGAGCCCCTCCGCAAGATAGTCGAGTTTGCCCATTCACAAAATCAAAAGGTTGGCATTCAGCTTTCCCATGCCGGCCGGAAAGCATCCACCGTTGTGCCGTGGTTGAATACGGGTCTTGCAGCAACTGAAAGCATAGGCGGATGGCCAGACAATGTATGGGGGCCTTCCACGGTCCCTTACAAGGACACGTTCCCTGTGCCCAAGGAACTATCGAAGGCGCAGATGAGGGCGATCGTCGTCGCATTTGCAGAGACTACGAAGAGAGCGTTGAAAGCTGGCATTGATGTCATTGAAATCCACAACGCACACGGCTATCTACTATTCTCTTTCTTGAGCCCTATCAGCAACACGCGCACAGACGAATATGGTGGCAGCTTCGAGAACCGCATTCGTTTAACTCTCGAGGTCGTGGATGCTGTCCGTGGCATCATCCCTGAAGACATGCCTCTCTTCCTAAGGTATTTTTGGGTCCATAAGATGTTCTTGCTTGATCTGAATGGTGCATCGTAGGGTTTCTGCGACTGAGTGGCTCGAAGAAGCGCTTCCAAATGTATCATCGTGGCGTGTCGAAGATACCGTCAAACTTGCTGGTATTCTTGCCGAGCGTGGCGTTGACTTCCTCGACGTCTCCAGCGGTGGTAACAACTCAAAAGCGATCATGAAATCCGGGCCGGCGTACCAAGCGCCGTTCGCACAGGCAGTCAAACAAGCTGTTGGGGATAAGCTTGTTGTCGGGTCTGTCGGGTCAATCACCAATGGCAAGATCGCCCAAGAAGTGCTTGACAAAGGTCAAGCTGACGTCGTACTGGTTGGACGACAATTCCAAAAGAACCCGGGAACTGTTTGGGCGTAAGTGTATACTCGTGAGATAAGTTAGCACCTGACCTAATGATATGTGGGTAGATTTGCATCAGACCTTGGCGTCGCGATCAAGCTAGCGAACCAGATTGGGTGGGGCTTCGGAGGTCGGGGTAGCAGTTATAAGAAGATTGAGTGGTGATTGCAATGGCTAGGTGTTTTGATATAATGTAGATAAGGCGAACAGGAATGACGCGTATACATACGCACGATTATGGAGACACGAAGACCATGAATCACAATACGTTGAAATAAAGCCTGTGTTCCAACTGACTTGATTCGTAGTGACCCCATAGACCAATACACGCACAGTCAGGTATCCATGTTCAATCCCGTAAAGCCAAAC